AAAATGATCAAAATGAGGGATAACATCTGATACTTAGTAAATGCTTTCTGCTCCTGTAGAAAAGTCCCTGCCCATATCTTGCTTATAACCCACTGAGTTAATCAGCAAACCACAGGAAATATTTATTGCATGGACTTTAATGAGCTTAAAAAGCCACTGGATAAAGTTCACTACCCAAAAGACAGACATGGAGCTGACATACATAACGAAAAATGAGAGAACATTCATTTCTCAATCAAGCAATGGGGATAACAAAATTAGGCTTTAAAGGAAAGCATATAAGGTTGTAGGTGTTAAATTGTTGCTAGACTATGCGGTACCAAGAGGAAAATCCCAAGGTCAGCAATAACAGCACTAGCCCTGCAAAGTGGTGGTCTGTTGATTAATTTTATTCAGGGCAACAACCTTGGGTCACTTCTTCCTTCCCAAGCATTCCTGTCCTCTCACAACCATCTGAAACAGAACGAGACTGACAGGTGGCAGCTGGCTCAAGGTTACCAGGTAAGATTGAAGAGTGTTAAATCAGTTTTATTTTTTGTGAATCCAAGCTTGATTTATTGAAGAGCATTGCACCATGCACTTTCTTTCAATTTCCTCAACCACCAATGTCACATAAAACATTTACATGACAGCTATTTATTATGTTCCTAAACAGAAAATCACTTCAGAAATTTGGTAGAAAAAAACCCATTCCTAGCCGACACCAACTAGAATTCATTTTTGAATGTTTGTATAAACACGTCTCTTTAAAAAGGAACAATATTGTCCTAACACATAAAAGCCATTTTCCCCTAAGTTTATAAATATTTTTATTAGGCCAAAACTTTTTATGAAATAGTTACAAGCTTTTCAGTTTCTAAGAACTCTTGATCAGGATAATTTCAAGTCAAATTTAAAAGAAGATTGGTGAAGTGAAAGGGAAAAAAATCTTCGACCTGAGTTAGGTGGCATTATCTGATGCAGTGAGAGAAAATCTTTGGGATGCAAGTTGAGTTTCATTAGATGGAGAGTGGTGTTGCACTGTCTAAGGTTCTCCCAAAACTGGCAGGGAAGAAGAAAGAAATCAAATATTTGTAATTTCCCCATTTCTGGAAATATAATTTCCAGCTCCATAATTCTTCCCAGTGAGAATTCTAGAGACTGAGGGCTACCACCATCTGGTTGTTGCACTTCCCAGTAACAGTTTTTTAAATGTTATAATAGATACACTCTGCTTTGACAAAGACTTCAATCAAAATTATATAATCATTACCAAATGCATTACTAACAAGTTTTTCTCATCATGTAAGTTTTTATTAGTTGTTACTTATTTACTACTTTGTTTTTGCATTTTTATTCTTGTATGGTTTAAATAAACTGTTACAATTTATGCAATAAATAAAATAAAATTATACAATCCACTGTTTTAAGAGTATTTCCAAATCATCGCCCCCAGTTTTCAAAACGTTCCAAGCCTTGAAATAAGATTCTCTTGGAATTCTAACCACACTGGAAGAGCAACACCCCTTTGATTTACAGTTTTTCTTGAAGTGGTGAAATAACTGAGTGAAGAATGCAAATGTGCAATAGAAACAATTACTAAAACTATCTTTCACAGCTGACCAGAAGGCCCAGCCATCTTTTTCACCCCACGCTAAAAAATAAAAAAATTCCCCACCCTCGTACTTTCCTTAAGAAATTCACAAATCCAGGCTGAGTCCTTGTGTTTTGATGGCTGGATTTAATTCCACATCTACTTTCCAAGGCGGGAGGTTTTGCAATCATCTTGACAAGGGGAAAAACTGGAAAAGAATCTAAAGTATACAGCACTTTATTAATTCGAAGCATGCCAATAAGGCAGCTTGAGTTGAAATAAAACAGCTGCAGGGGACAAGTTTAAAAATCCAAGTAACAGAAATCCCCAAAAGCCAAACAATGACCTCTTCTTTACTCACAGAGTTTTAGTTGACTGCTTCCAAAGGAACTATTGATTCCTGCAACGGTAGTTAACTTTGGGAAGTAATCATGTAATTATTTCCCACAAAGCAAACTGCCCGCATGCTTCTTAGGTCAATAAATGAAACTCCTCCCCTTGATGGATTTCTGTTCCTTCCTGCTTTATTCATTGTCCTGCTGTAGAAGTCCACTTGGATAGGTCTTGTTCCTCACCATGCTGCTGCTGGAGGGCAACGTCACTTCTTCTTCGTTTCCTTGCAAGCCACAACGTAGCGCTGAGCTACATTGAGGGGTGGAGAGTAGCCATCTGCATAGCTGGTATCTTCAAACAGCACTGAGTAGTCATCTTGGGGCTGAGGCCAAGAAAAAGAGTGGATTTGTTACCTCCTACAGAGGAATGGCCATTCACTCATGCTCTCCACCTATTAAGCAGCTTACTTCTCTGCTAATTCTTCTCCTTACGTCAGTGTTGTCCAAACTTGGCCACTTTAAGATGAGTGGACTTCAACTCCCAGAA